CTGCCACCCGGACCTCCCCCCCCACTTCAAACCATAACAGTGTTGTTTGGAGAGAACTACCGGGCAGTCTGCCCTGGGCAGCAGGTGCTCAGGGATCGGGCCCCATCGCGTCGTTACGATGTCATGGTGCTACAGATGATCTGTGTATTCGTGGAGACATAGCCGTTGTGCTGGACGCTTCTTAAATAACACTTTCTTTTTTTTTTCCCTTTTCAGGTCTCTAAACTTGGTGCCTTTTGCTGTGGGCTCAGTTTGTGCAATCAGCACACGATAGTGCTTTATATCGCGTGTATCGTGCCTTGGGTTCTCTCCCGCCTTTTCAGAAGGACGGTACGTATTTTGCTGCCTTGTGCCTCAGTTTTTGTCAGGCAGTAAGTAGTTCTTCTTTCCAAGCGCTTGTGCCACTTTTATGTTCATGTACGAGCAGGGACAGGCAGTGGTTTGTCTAAACTAGTCAGTCATAACCCACCAAAGTTATGGTCCATCGGTCTGGCACCAGAGCCTCTGATGGACCATAGAATCACAGAATGGTTTGGGTTGGAAGGGACCTTCAAGACCATCTAGCTACAACTCCCCTGCCATGGATAGGGACACCTTCCACTAGACCAGGTTGCTCAAAGCCTCATACAGCCTGGCCTTGAACATCTCCAGGGATGGGGCAGCCGCAGCTTCTCTGGCAACCTGTTCCAGTGCCTCACCACCCTCAGAGGGAAGAAGTTCTTCCTTAGATCTCATCTAAATCTCCCCTCTTTCAGTTTAAAGCCATTGCCTCTTGTTCTGTCACTACATGCCCTTGTCAAAAGTCCCTCTCCAACTTTCTTATAGCCCCTTTAGGTACTGGAAGGCTGCTAGAAGGTCTCCCTGGAGCCTTCTCTTCTGAACCCCAACAACCCCAACTCTCTCAGCCTGTCTTCACAGGAGAGGTGCTCCAGCCCTTGGTTCATCTTCATGGTCTCCTCTGGACTCGCTCCAACAGCTCCATGTCCTTCTTGTGTTGGGGACTCCAGAGCTGAATGCAGTATTCCAGGTGGGGTCTCACAAGAGCAGAGCAGAGGGGCAGAATCCCCTCCCTTGACCTGCTGGCCATGCTGTTTGTGATGCAGCCCAGTATGGGGTTGGCTTTCTGGGCTGCAAGTGCACATGATTTAGAAGCTTTGCTCACACCAGCAATCTGCAACCTGCCTGTGTCTCCTGGCACAGGAGCCCTCTGCCCCAGCTGCTTGCAAATACCCTGTACGCAGCCGAGAGGCCAATACTCAGAGCTAAAAACTGCTCTGTGTGTCGGAAGTAAGAGCATGTTCATTGACCTGCCAAACAGGAAAGCAGATAAATACCTGTTGGTGAGAAGTCACAGGCGTGTGTAGTCTGTGTGCGCTGCTTCTCCTGGCTGATGGCACAGGCCTTCTCATGCCATCGACTCATTCGGAGATGAGTTTCTGTGTGTTGGTTCCCTGGTAGTAGCAAACGAAAGCTGTGTCCACTCGTTGCAGAGCATCTTGCAACTGCTGTTGGGAGTTGAAGGCGCAGCCAGAATGAGCAGCACAGCAATAAGGGTACAGAGGCTTGTCTCTGGGGGGAAGTCCTCTTCAGCATCTCCGTGGGATGTGCCTTCAGCTCTAACGCAACCAGGACTTGTGAGTCCTACAAGAGATCAGCTCTCAGGTGAAAAGCACCTGACTCCTGCCAGCTGGAAGAGACTGAAGGAAGGCTGACCTTTGGTGGAACAGCAAGCATATGTACCCTTTCATATCCTACCAGAGATCCCTTTCTCAAGGTGTTCCTTGTTCTACACCTCTTCATTAGGCTTGCTAGTCATGTAAGAAGGTGGAAGCTCTTTTTTTCATGCCTGGCTTATGAAGGTGACATGTATCCATCTAGATGACGCTGCTGGGTGATGTTCAGGGTCCCTGCAATGGTCTTATCTTTTATAGGTGATCTTCTGAGTCAATGCATCAGGCTGGACATAGACATGTTGTAGAAACTCTACTCTGCCCTGGAAACAGCTGCACATCTCAGTGATGCAGATGCTCTGATCGCTTTGCAAGTGGCCCTGAGAAACCTCCATCTCCTCCCCCCTCCTCTCTCTGTTGCTCTCCTGAAGGTGCCAGTTGGGCAGGTTTCTGCTGGGCCAGTCCTGCCTGTGTTTTTCCACCCTCGACCTGATAAATCTGGTGTGGGTAATGACACAGGATATCACTAAGCCTGGAGTGAAGCACGCAAGTTGCAAGAGATAAGATGCAGCTCAGACAAGCTTGATCCAAACTCTACTCAGCATCTCCAGCAAACCCCTTTCTGACTATCCATCTCATTTAGCACAATGAAGACTCTTCTGCAATATATTTGTGTTCTTTAAACGGAACTTTCTCCTCTTTTTTAAGCTGAGGAGGTCCAGAGAGACCTCTGTGATTTCCAGCAAGGACAATCCTGTGCCAATATAATATTCCTGAGAAATACTTTAGACAGCCCAATGGTGCCTGCTGCAGAAAGCCACCTCATAAGAAGGCTATTTGATGGAAAACGGTGCCTCTTTCAGTAAAAAAAGAGCCAGCGTTCTTCTGAAGGAACTGTGGCCACCACTCTTATCAAGCTACTATTTCTGCTCCGTAGATGATCGCTCTGAATGGAGCCTCTTCCCCGTAACCCCAACTGCTGAAGAAGTGCTTTGATTGACAGGGCAGTGGCTAACGATAAAGCAAGCGTGCAATATTCTAGGGTGGGATTTTCCAAAGCACTTAAAGGAGTTAGGCACAGAAGTCCCTTTGAAAGTCTCGTCTTCCTGACCCCTTAGGCAGTCTTGAAAATCCCGCCCCAAAAGTTGGCCTATCCAATTTAGCCAGTGTAATCGCGAGGAAGTAAATGGCAAAACCGACTCCTGATGATGGTGGTGATGTGCGTTGTACTAGAGCAACCGTTTATTTTTTTTATTATTTATTTATTTTATTTTTTTTTTTTTGCCAGATGGAATACCAGCCAACTCTTAATCGCTGCAAAGTGGGTTATCTCAGCCTTGCAGTGCTTCAGCCATCTATGCATGTCATGCCATGATTTAAATGTGAAAGATGCAATGAGTATGATACTCATGAGTCCTAGCTAATATTATTTGCTTCACTTAAATTTCACCCTGCCATGCAAAGGAGATCAGTTTGATGCAGTTTCCTAGTAATCCACAAAATCGTAAGGTTTAACATAGCATTTTGTAGGGACTTACTATAAATTGAGAGATCAGCTCTGTGTAAATATATTTGATGTTTTTTCTTTATCTGTTCTTGAAGTTCCAGCGTGATTAAACTAAAATAAACATTGTTATGCAATATGACATATTTTGGTGCAGGAATTGTCCCCAGGCCATTTGCTGAAGTTGGGTTTATGCTTCTTGGCTGGTTTGCTGCCTTATCTCTATCTGCCGGCTTCATCCTACCTCAATCGAGCCCGTTGGACATGGGGAGACCAGACGACATTTCAAGGATTTTTGACCCACTTTCTCAGGGAAGAATATGGGACATTCAATCTGGTAAATAAGGGTCATTTTCTAAATGACTTTCTTTTAACTCATGCAAGAGCAGAACCTTTCTATTTGTGATGGTTAGTGGCTTGCAGGGGAAGAAATTGAACATGTTTTCTTTTTAGAAAAAATTATCACTAATTTTGACCTTGTGATCTGTCAGGTTTTCTGGGAATGGAGCACTTGGCTGGGAAAGCAAAGAAATAATTCTTTTTTGCCTTTACGCAATAGAGCCGTATTATTTACTGGGAGCTGTGCAGGTGTCTTGTATTTATAAGAGCTCAAAGAGCAACTTGTGCTAGAGGGAGATGGTGGCACCAGTTTCGTGTTTTTCTTGTTTTAAGGCAAATAATTATCCCCTTTTTATTTATTTTCGACTCAGCTATTTAAAGAGGTCGCAAGCAGTTTTCATTGCTTAAGCTTTAAAAGAGATTCTTCCAGCTGAACATCTTACTCATATTGAATTGAAATAAATGGTAGGTTTGGGGGGGGTTCAGAATCCTCTGATCTGAGTTATTGACTGGTCTGTGCTCTTGCCGAGGGAGGGACGTATTGCATGGTCGCTTGCAGAGTTTGTGTCTACCTCCTCCAGCCCTGACTCAGATGTTCTGCTCTGGCCACCCAAGGGAAGCAAGCACCCAGCACCCCTTCTCTCCTTCCTGCTTCAGAGATTTCAGCGCAGAGGGCTGGGAAGTCGCGCCACTGGGGGAAGAAAAAGAGAAAAATGTAGGATTTACATGTCGTGTCACTCCTTGAGGTCAAGAAGCCCCACATCCTCAAATGCAGCCGCATCCAGCCAGCATAATGCAGCGAGCACTGTTGCTGTTGCATTGCAGTCTTCTTCTGTAGGATGTGAGGCAAAAGACTTGATAATTCCTGCTCCTGCCACTTAATCTTTCCAAAACTCCAACAGAGATAAGATACACCCTCTGAAGGACTTCTGAGATTTCCCCTGTTGTCCTATTCCCAGCCGCCTCCCGAGAATGAGCGTGGGTTGGGCAGAGCCATACCAAGGCACACAAATCCTTTAACTCCTTCCTCCATCAAATGTGATGAATTCAAGTTGATGTTCAGGAGGCTTAGGGCTGGACTGCGTGTAATCCTGCTCCACAAATCACATTTACGATGGACTCGTCTGAAGCAGGAGCAATAAATGCAGCAAAATGTAAGCGGTTGGTCCCGACGCCACTTGGGCTAATGCCAGAGCCCTGCCTGGATGGACAGACAGCTCTTCCGTCCCAGGGCTCCGTTTCAAGGGCAGACAGGGTCCAGACTGGAGCACCCCTGCTATGAAGACAGACTGAGAGAGTTGGGGCTGTTCAGCCTGGAGAAGAGAAGGCTCCGGGGTGATCTTATAGCAGCTTTCCAGTACCTAAAGGGGCTACAGGAAAGCTGGAGAGGGACTTTTTCCAAGGGCGTGTAGTGACAGGACAAGGGGCAATGGATTCAAACTGAAAGAGGGCAGATTTCGATTAGATATAAGGAAGAAATTTTTTACATTGAGGGTGGTGAGGCAGTGGAACAGGTTGCTCAGAGAAGTTGTGGATGCCCCATCCCTGGAATTGTTCAAGGCCAGGTTGGATGAGGCTTTGGGCAACCTGGTGTAGTGGAGGATTTCTCTGCCCATGGCAGGGGGGTTGGAACTGGATGATCTTTGAGGACCCTTCCAACCCAAACCATTCTATGATTCTATGATTCTATGAAAAAATAAAAAACAAACCAGAGAAAAGACTCAGGAGAGGGTTCTACCTATAAGCCAAGGATCAGAAATGTCGTCTCCTGCAAGGGATGTGTCTGGAGCCAGAATCATAGAATCATAGAATGGTTTGGGTTGGAAGGGACCTTCAAGATCATCTAGTTTCAGCCTCCCTGCCATGGGCAGGGACACCCTCCACTACACCAGGTTGCTCAACGCCGCATCCAACCTGGCCTTTGAACACTTCCAGGGATGGGGCATCTACACCTTCTCTGGGCAACCTGTTCCAGTGCCTCACCACCCTCAGAAGCTGTTGGCTGCCAACACGGTGGGGCTTTGCAAGAAGCAGAGAGGTAGCAGTGGGGCTTCGGGAGCTGTGGGCTGGCTCTGCATCCTCTAATGCTTTTATTTTTTAATTAAATCTTGGATGCAATTAACTATTCCATTTTTATTGAGATTAAATATTCCTTCCAGACCTTCTGGATCCCTTTACCTTATCTTTTATCTAGTAACCACCATTTTTCCAACCTATGAAGGTAATTCCTCATCTCCACCGAGCTCATCTTGTTTCCCAGACTTATGCCATGGATTGCAAGTCTCTGCAATAAAAAATGTCATATATCCATATAGCTGTGCCTCTGTCAGGACAGAGGGGACAGGAGCAGTTAGCAAGCAGGAATTGAGGCCCATGTGCTTGTCTCAGACGGTGAGGAGACATCCCAGAAAATAATTGCGCGGTGCAGATACAGTAGAATTCGCAGCTAAACCATACGATGTGCTCGAGCCATGGGGCAACGGGTTGGTAGCACCTTGAAAAAATGCTTATCTAGGTGGTAAACCCTGCACAGTGGCATGATGTAAAACAAGAACGTGGGAGAAAATCTTGCAATGAAGGTTCGAGTAGAGTTTGCTGTCTTTTTGTTGTTTAAGCAGTTCCTGTTCCCTGTGGCCACTTTGGGGTACCACCTAAAGGGGTTCTGAGGAGCCCTGTGTGCTCAGGGCTCTGCAGACAGAAAACAAAAAGACTGTTCCTTTTCCCAGTGATACGGCAATCGGCGTGTGGGTTTCTTACAGGTTTTCTTTCTTTTTTTTCTAGGCCAAGTCCGAGACAGGCTGCAGTATGACAGAGATGCTGATGTGAGTAAAATCTTGACTGTGCCTTTTAGTAGAGAGAAACCTGTTGCTGCTGCTGTCGTTTTGGCCAAAGTAGCTCCTGTCCTGCTTTTCCTCAGCTTGGTCTAGAGCTGGGGCTGTGCGTGTCCGGCGCAGGGACAGCATGCGTGTCCGTCTGTCTTCCCCATCGAAGGCAAAATGCTGCATCTCCCTCCCCACTGATTTTTCATTCAAAATCCTGATACGTAAACCAAGCTTGTTCCCGTTTCTGGTAGACTTAATCACAGCAGAATGGGAATACGTTACGTTGTGCTTATTCCCTGCTTCTCTTGATGCTTTAATTGAGTGCAAGGGGCGATTGCAAATCATTCTATGATTTGGTGATGACGCATCCACGCGCTGATTTCTCCGCAGTTTTCAGCTGGCGCAGATGAAGTCGGAGCTCTCCCTGCCCGTCCTGGCCCTGGCACTCGTGGCTTGCGTGAGCGCAGCGCTGCCGTAAGTCGGAGAGGAACATTTACTGCGACCATAGGTCAGGTTGGATTTGAAAGCTCATTCAGCTTGCTTTGCCTTCTGCTTGCTGGTGCAAAAATTTCAGCAATCAGCTGTGGTCATCTATTAATTAAGAGCGAAATATCCCCGCTCCTGGTAACCCTGTGGCTTTGTAGATGGCGAGCTTAAAAATCTTGAAATCCCCATGGTTTCGTGCATTGAAAGCAGAAGTTTCATAAATTGCAAAGGTAAAGAAAGGCTCGTTAGCTCCTGGTACTAAATGTATTGAGGTATGCAGAGAGTGGGTTTGAAGCACGTACAACTCTTGTCTCTTTTTTCATCATGCCGCTAGAGCGCTGTGTTGGTGTTTTTTAATAGGACAAAGCAGCAGAAATCACCCGTGATCTGGCTCTTCACTGGAATGCTCTGTCTTTATTCCCTTTTCTTCGCTTGGAGAGCAAATTTGGATATTACGAAACCTCTGTTTCTGGGCGTGGTGAGTTGTGCTCCGAAAATTGCTCTGCCGTGGTAATTTCTAGAAGAAGCCTTAAAACCGCCTAATGAGCAGCAGGTGGTTGTCTTGAAGCTGCATAAGATGCAAAAATACAGCTCCTTATTCTGTTTCCTTGTAGCTGGGGAAACAGAAATAGGGTCTTTGGGATTTTTTTTTCCCTAGGTGGAGCGGTTCTGGCTGCAGAGCAGTGCCGTGGTGGCCGTGTTGGCGGGGCTGGGACTGGCCGCGCTTGTGTCCATTGGAAGCACCGTGCTGGAGGGCAGCTGGATGCTGCCGTGGTTGGAGTGGCTTTCCACTCTTGCTCTCGTCGTTTCTCAAATTTGGACAAATTACAGGTAACAAATCCGCCGGACGTGTGTCTCGGTGCAGCCTCGTGGGGCTGCGGGGTGCAGGTCAGTTGGGGTGCTGCTGTAAACCTCCCACCCTGCTGCTGGGGTTTCTGTCCTTGTCTTGGACAGGAGAGGCAGTTTTCACATCCCACCCAAGCTTGCATGGCCACAACCTGTGGGACTCCCTTGTTTGATCTCCCTAAAAATCACCAAGCACCAACTCCAGGCTATGAATGGGGCTG